ATACATGGAGCTTGCTGTACCATAAAAAAGAATCACAACTAAAAGATGTGAGGAGCAAGTAGAAAATGCTTTCTGCTGGCTTTCAGCTGATGACATCAGAAGAATTGTGGAAATTATGCGACTATATGAATAAATGATCAACAAGAAGGGACACAAAATAGCAAAGACAGCCACCACAATGACTTGAATTTCCCTTGGGAAAGTGTTACCACAAAGCAGGTCCAAGAGGGGTTGAATCTCACAGAAAAAGTGATTGATGGCAAAACCACAGAAGGGTAAGTTGAATGTTATGATGGTGTGTACCAAGCCTACAGCAGTTCCACAAATGTAAGTTCCAGCAACCAGACTTTTGCAGACTCTACTGTTCATGACAATGGTGTAATGCAAGGGGCAACATATTGCCACGTAACGGTCCAGTGACATGGCAGCCAAGAGGAAACATTCAGCAACTCCAAAGAAAAGGAAGAAAAACATTTGCGTTGCACATCTTGCCTTGGAGATACCTATTGTTCCCACCATCAGATTCTCAAGAATATTTGGTATTATGACTGACAAATAGCAGATATCCAAACAGGACAGCTGAGTGAGGAAGAAATACATGGGGGAATGAAGGGTGTTATCACCGTTCATTGTCAAAGCTATCACTGTGTTAGCCATCAAGGTGAGAATATAAAGAGATAATAAAACTACAAAGAGCAAAGGATGCAAATGAGAGATTTCAGAAAAACCCAGGAGTCTGAATTCACTCACTTCACTGAAGTTCCCAAGAATCATCCCTCTCTGGTACCTCGTAGAACTATTCTCTCTTCGTTTTTGCACTCAGTAGTTGATGACGTAGTAAACAGACAGGCAAATTGGCAATCCAAATACCACTGCCTGATTGAATAGGCAAAAGGATGAGTAGAATTTAGAAATTATCAAGATTTTGAAAAGGTCTTCTGAAGAGATTAAGTGGTCTTATGCAAATGTTTTTGTCTCTATTTTTGACTGAGGCTTCTTTTCATAGCACTGCCTTCAAAGTTTGCGTATTTACTAGTGTCTTCAATGCTCAGCTACAGTTTTTACCCTGCAGAACAAGGGGGAAAAAAAAAGCAAATATTTTTTATGGACTAATCAGTTCAAGTTCCAACAGCATCAGTAGCAACATTTGAATATAACAAAGATAATTTCACTGTTATTTAAGTGATCTACTCTGGGGATGCGTGCAAGGTCAATTGGTCCAAAGCATCTTGTGACTGTACTCATGGCTAGGCTATACAGCATGAAAAGGGTTAAAGGGCCCTTACAAGAGACAGGCTTTGCATGCACAAGGATTTACTTGTGGCATACACAGCTTACGGCAGTCATGTATTCTGAAGTTACCTTGTGGGGAGCGTGGTGGAAAAGAGGAAGAAAAAAGTCCTAAATCATGAGGTCTCCAGAAAAACATTCTACCCTGAGCATTCTGCAGTGAATAAGGAGAGGTGTTTTTCCCCAGCACTATATCCTATATATATATATTTATGAAGTCCACTGAGACTTGCTAATGCTGATTACAGCAATAAAGCATAGTTGTTACTCACAGGTTGGTTACTAACTATGGTGTATGTATATTAGTTGATTCACAGACACTCTTTTTGGTCTCTCCAGTTTTAGATAATTTGGAATACACTTCTATATAAACCTAGATGTTCTCATGCAACATCAAGAGTTGACTTTCAAAGTCAAGAGTTTGACTTTGAAACAATTACTATTACTTCATAATTATCACCAAATTAGTGAGACAGTAGTCACGTAAGCTTGTCATATTTATGCTTTCTCAACAAAATTTGAAGGTGAAGCAGAGGTACAGTCCACATTCATATGGGACTGTAAATCCTGCTGAGATAGGAATGGAAGGCTGCACGTTACAAGTGATCACAAATCACTTCAATAAAACTGTCAACTTTGTAAAGGTCTTGGCCAGAGTCAGTCATCTAGAGTACCTTTATAGCCTCTGGGGAGAGAGATCCTCTTAATCTTTACAGTATATCAGAATCAGGCGAAACAAGCCATAGAAGTGCCTGTTTTTCTCCATTGACTATAAAAGATATTCAGACCCCCAAACCAAGAATGCAGACACAGAATTATCATCAACTTTGTCATCTAAACCTAGAGGACCTGCACCTTATGACAACTTTGTGGGTATCTGCAGGGAGATGATAAATTGCAAAGCAACATATGAAGACCATGAGTGCACAAAAAGGCCTTAACGACCCTGCCCTATGGTCTCCAGCCATGCTCTCTGTCCACAGACCCATGATCTTCATTTAAAATCACTTCAGCTTATATTGACCCTGAGCAGGAGACCATTGTGTGTTTAGGAGTAGTGATGCATGTAGCAGTTCACCTGAAAAGGCCTAAGCTTTGCTGTGCTGAACATCCAGGATGACACTCAGGTCTGGGCTGTGCTCATCTCTTGGCCACAGGTTAAACTCAGCAGCTCATGGTAAGCAGGCAGCTTCCACTCTTACTGGTGACACCACTCCCTGCGTGGCCTGGCCTGTGTCCAGAAGTGAAACAAGTTCTCATGAGAACAGCCTTTAAGAATAAAGTTGTTTCATTATGATGGAATGATATAATAGATTGAATGATCAAATGGGAGAGCTACCTCTATGGACAGGATCTATGCAGCACACCGTGGGAAAATTCATTCCCTTCTGCATGAGAGCAGGGTTTCCAGGACTGTAAGGGACAAGATTTGTTCGTTACTCATCTTGATTTTTATTATATCTTATTAAATTTTTTTTTTTTATTTAGCCATTTGTTGTGGTCTTATGATGTGGTTTCTTATTTAGATCCATTAGCAACCCTGCCTTGGCTATCTCAGCACAATGTCCCTTTAAATGCCAAAGAGACAATGTCCATCTTCCATAGTCAGAGGTAAAGCAGTGTGTACTTAGCCTGTTAACTGGCAGGATGTCATTTCAATCAGCCATTATCATTGAAACAGGCTCCAGTTAAACTTGGATCAGAGTAAATCTGCATCGAGATTTGACTGTCCCCAGGTCTGACTCTGACTCGTGCTGTAGCTTTTCAGATAAATCGCATGATGGAGAACAGCTCCCCCTGTTCCTCCTGGCCCCTTCCCAGCCCCCTGATCAGAACAGGGCCCAGGTGATGAACTTAGATTTTTTTTAATAGATGTTGTGTATTTGAATGAGTACAGAAAAGTTCCACTCGTAATGTTCAGAAATTTTTGACCAAAGTTCAGCCAGTTAGAGAAATCTGGGGTTTATATTTGATTAAAAGTGGAATTGCTGACGGATATCCACACTGACAGCGTCGATATCTCATTCAAACTGATCCTATTTCACCTGGCCTTAGAACTGTCTTTGTCCACTCTTGTCTTTAGTCATTGATTATAGAGTGACCTCTGCATTACAATCATCTTCTGTAAGCAACAAAGGGAAAGTGATTTTTCAGGGAAGAACCACCTAATGTGATGCAGGTGTCTTCTGGACATAGTAAGTGACAACTAGAAAGTGCTATATCTTTGTTTAATTAAAGAGAAGCATAGCATGATTCACCTAAATAAAGACAGAAATATCCATAGAGGACAGAAATATCCAGAGAGGAAAATTTCTGAGAAATCTGAAGGATCTATCTGAGTTGGCATGATGTGTTCTCTCAGGGGACACCTTTCCCATACCATTAATTAAAGAGTATAAAGCCAGAGTTAGACATGAGCAATGCATAAGTTCTTTCCTCCTGCAAAACCTTTAAAGCTTTTTTCCTGTGCTTGGTCTATGTGGTTTGTTTCCATACCAATTTTTTATCCCTTAATTTAGGCAGGATCAGGCCTAATGCCATGAATGGTAAAAAAATAACAGATTAAAATAGATATGCAAGTGTTCCATAGGTTTTTCTTTAGTTTGTTCCAGGACCTAACAGGAAAAGCAGAGAGAGGGCTCTGTCACACCTAAACAATGAGAGAAAAATAACTGACTCCTACAATTGCTAACAGTCAATATCCAAAAGATTATTTTTCGGTGGGGACATAGACAGATAGAAATATTTAAGGTTTGTAGTGTGGCTTTTCCAAAAATATTAACCACAGCCTTCTCCTATTGGCAGGTGAGCTACTTTATTTTATTCATTCTTCTGTCTCTTCTTCCCCATCTTATTGTTCTCTACCACCTACACAGGACTTGTCTTTAAGGGAGACTTATCTGCCTATGAAGTGAATGGTTTATTGGAATAGAAGATCAATTACAAGAAATGTTTAATTCTTGAAAAAAGCTGTTCCTCCTCAAGAATGCCTGGAACAAATGCAATTTTCTGGGGTGCAATCCACATTATTGAGTAGTTTTGTGTGGTACTGTGCAGAGTATACAGGATTATCTGTGTTCAGTAGGTAATTCTTTCCTGGAATGAACCCCACTCACAGAATGATAGCAAGAGGGACTCATTGCCAAGCACCCATTCTGTCAACAAATCAATAATTTCTGGGTTTTAATGACCAACCTTCTTTGCTTGGCAAAGGGTTTATAGTTGCAGATCTCTACTGGATAATGGGACAAAAGTCCACTTCAAAAAGTGGGGCAGTGCAGTATAATCCTCATCCCAAAAGGCAGGAAGAGTGAAGTATTCTACTATCATAACAAAGAGGTATCTTCCTTTTTATTGACTAGAAGTGAAGGACACTCGGTTGGGAAAGCTGTTCTTATTTATTAAAAGCTGTGTGAAGGAAACCACCTTGCTTTTCTCCACTAAACAGTCCTTAGCACTAAAAATACCTAAACACAACACTTCCTTTTCTGGGGTCTTGTCCGATTAGAAAGTAACATATATAAAGATTCAATTTACTATTTTGTATTTCTTCAGATTAACTAGAAAATGGACATGCAATGACTTCTGCAGTTAAAAGACACCTGAGGGACATGGACAGCAGTAATCACATTGTGGTGACCTATCTCCAATTTTTACCCTTCTCCAGCATTCCAGAGATCCAAGGCTCTCTCTTTTGTCTGTTACTGTCCATGTACCTCAGTACTTTGGTGGGAAACATCGTCATCATCACAATCACTATGGTAGATGCTGCCCTTCACTCTCCCACGTATTTTTTCCTGAAGAACTTTTCCTTCCTGGAGGTTAGCTATACCACATCCACCATCCCCAAGACGCTGTGAACTTTCTCACAAAGAGGAAGAACATATCTTTTGGGGCTGTGCCACACAGATGTATGCTTTCTCCCTCCTCGGGATGACAGAATGCTGTTTGCTGGCTGCCATGGCCTATGACCGCTATGTGGCCGTATGCCAGCCTCTGCACTACACGACCACGATGAGATGGAACACGTGCTTCTTGCTTTCAGCTGTGCCTTGGCTTACCGGGGTCTTGGTGGCCTTAGTGCAGACAACTTTCGTCTTTACCCTTCCATGCTGTGGTCCCAATGGGATCAATCACTTCTTCTGTGACCTGCTGCCTCTGCTTAAGTTGGCTTGCGTGGCCACCTGTAAAAATGAAATCACCACCGACGTAATAGCTGTCCTCTTCATCATAGTCCTCTTCTTATTCATAGTTGTGTCATATATCCAGATTCTCCACACCATCTTCAAGATACCATCAGTGAAGGGCAAGGGAAAAGCATTCTCTACCTGCTTTTCTCACCTAGTCGTGGTCACTCTGTTTTACGGACCTGGCACTGTGACCTACTTGAGACTCAAAGCTTCTTATTCAAGCAGCAGTAGCAAATTGTTTTCTCTTTCTTACACACTGTTGTCTCCAATGATGAACCCCTTGATTTACAGCTTGAGGAACAAAGAAGTGAAACAAGCCTTTTAAAAGTCAAAAATAGAAATATGTAATATGTTTATGAATTATATTAAATGTAGTAGTAGCTTTGATATTGTGTGTACTGCTGGAAGGACAATATGATTTGCCAGCACTTACCCAAAAATTAATCTCTACCTTCCAGCTTTGAGTCAATCCTCCAGGTAATTCAGCCTTTAAAAAAAAAGGTTATTTCTCTTCAGATTCTTTCTTATATCATTTTAAGATAGGTTTGGCATCCAGCTCACGTGAATCACCTGCTACTGTATCCTCTATGTCCTGTCCATCAATACAGAAATAGTTCTTTGCTTCGCAGATGTATTTACCTGTGATAAGATGAAATTCACTATATTCTCTGAATATCGTGAAAACATTTCTGTGTAGCTTTTCTAAAAACACACTATGATGAGTGCAAGAAATTATCAGAGAAGGGGACAATGGACCTAATGAGAAGTACTATGCAAATATTTAAGACATTAATCTTCTGGTGAGTTCTGATGAAGAGATTTCCCAGATGAGCTCTTCAACTCTATTTTGTGAAGAAAGTTTATTTGAAAGTTTGAAGGGGTAAGGTTTCTCTTTGCTTCAAATACACAGTTTATCTGTTCTAAACCAGATTTCTGCCATAGAAAGAGGCAACCTATCACTTAGACATCTTCATTGCTGTATGTTTGTTTTTGAAGTCAAAACAATGAATTTATACCAACATATGTATATCTTAGGCTTCTGAACTGAAAACAGAAAACAATGTCTCTTTTTGTGTAAAAAAAAAGGTTGACTGTGGAATGACAGAAACTACTTGAGTGTCAAGGAAATGGATGGTCATAGGGAAGCTGATTTGAGACATGAAATTTTTAAAAGTGAGGCTAAAACTTTAACTTTTTTTCCTTTTTTTTCCTTCTGGTTTTACTATGTACTCACTTGGAGGATTCATGGGATCCTAGTTTACCTCTTCACTCTTCACTTTTTCTTTGCTAAGCTAAGACAGTGGATGTGGAATTAGTCATTCAAATGGGAGAAGCATGCAAGGGTGTTTTGCACCAGGAATTGCTAGTTCATTTTGATCCCAGTAAGACAGACACAAAGGTTGTGTCAAGGATACAGATTTGTGTCAAGGATCATTTCAAGTGATTTAGTAGAGTTTACACCATAAAGAAGAGGATAATAAAGATAAAATTGCATCCCTTCAGATTCTGGGAACCTGTACACTGGGACGCTAGGAGGTATTGAAAAACACCTGAAGGACAATGCAGTCATCAGTCACAGCCAGCATGGAGTCATGCTTGTCAAATCTTCTGACCTTTTAGGACAAGGTAACCCAGCTAGTTGACCAAGGGAAGCCAGCTGATGTAATCTTTTTGGATTTCACTAAAGCTTTTGATACGGTTTCTCACAGGATCTTTCCGGGCAAAATGTCCAGCCAACAGCTGGATAAACACATCATATGATAAGTAAGCAATTGGCTCATGGGTGAAGCACAGAGGGTAATAGTGAACGGGGTGACATCAGCCTGGTGACCTACCCATAGTGGAGTTCCACAGGGCTCCATCTTAGGCCCAGTGCTGTTCAACACTGTCCTCGTTAGAACAGCTAGGACCAGTTCATCACTGTGTGGGTGTAACATCCACTGTGTATTCTACACCCTCCATGTAATTTCCCAGAAACTGTTAACAATAGACCATTTGCAGCAGCTGCCCAGAGCACACCTGACTCCTCAGGCTATAGTTATGGGTGATGTTAACTCCCCTCCAGGGAGTCATTAGCACCTCCACACCCAGCCGGAGGGGTCATGTCTGCTAACGGGCCACCAAGGATTCCAAAAATATCTCACCCATTGTGGAACTCCCCACCCTGGGGGAAGTACTGGGCATTCCTGCCTGAACTTGAGTGCATATAATATTGGGGTCTTGGGACTTCTGGTACCATTCGTCGGATCCAAAGGAGGACCAGAACCTCGACCAGACTGCAACCACCACTCTCGACCGGACTGTGATCACCGCTATCGACCAGACTGCGGTCACCACCCTCGACCGGACTGTGACCAGCACTCTCACCAACAGGTTTTTCCCTCTCCTTTTACTTTGGACTCAGGGGGGCCCAACGAACACCGCTCCGTTCGTGCCCCAGGGTGCTGGGGGGTTTGTGGGTTAAAACCAATTGTTCATCTGTATAATTGTATTTATTGTATTATTTTTATTAAATTGTTATTCTGACATAATCTCTTTTGAGTTGAGTTCATTTCCCTTGCCAGTTTACCTTTAAACCAGCACAAACACCTTCATAAACTTGGATGCAGGACTGGAAGGGATACTAAGTAAGTTTGCAGATGATACAAAATTGGAAGGAGCTGTTGACTCCCTCTAAGGCAGAAAGGCCCTGCAGAGAGATCTTGGCAAATTAGAGGGCTGGGACTTCACTTGAGGACTTCACAAACCGTATGATGTTCAACAGCAAGTGATCGATTCTGCAGCAGGGATGGGGCAAGCCAGGATGCACAGAGAGACTGGGGAATGAGAAAGCAGTGCTGCAGAAAGGGACCTGAGGGTCCTGGTTGATGGCAAGTTCAATACGAGCCAAGAGTGCTCTGGCAGCCAGGAGGGCCAACCGTGTGTCCTGGGGGGCATCAGGCCAGGTATCACTGGCTGGTCCAGGGAGGGGATTGTCCCACTCTGCTCTGACCTGGGATGGCCTCACCTGCAATATTGGGGCAGTTTTGGGCACCACAATAAAAAAAAGACATCAAGCCATTTGACAGCATCCAAAGGAGGGCATCGAGGATGGGGAAGGGCCTTGAGGGGAAGCCATGTGAGGAGCAGCTGAGGGCACTTGGTCTGTTCAGCTGGAGAAGAGGAGACTGAGGGGAGATGTCATTGCAGTTACAGCTTCCTCGGGAGGGGAAGAGGAGGGCTAGACACTGATCTCTTCTCTGTGAGGACTAGTAACGGGAGCCTAGGGAATGGCCTGAAGTTGTGTCAGGGAAAGTTTAGATTGGATACCAGAAAGAGGTTCTTCACCCAGAGGGTGGTTGGATGCTGGAATAGGCTCCTCAGGGCAGTGGTCACAGCCCAAAGCCTGAGAGAGCTCAAGAAGCATTTAGATGATACTCTCAGACACATGGTCCAACTCTTCAGGATGGTCCTGTGCATGGCCAGGAGCTGGACTCAATCAATAGTTCTTGTGGGTCCCTTCCAACTCAGCATATTCTGTGATTCTGTGATAAAATCTCCCTGACCCTTTTCCTTTCAAACCCGCAAAACACACCTTTCTCAGTCTTCCCTTGTGCATTTTGTGCACCAGCTCCTCACCATCTTTATGGCCTTCCTCTGGACTCACTCAAGTATAGGAGTATCTTCTTTGTTCTAGGGAGCAGAAAAACAGCACACCATGCTTCAGATGAGATCTCAGAAGTATTGAATCAAAGGAAAGAATCCCTTCACTTGTCATGGTGGCATCACTGCTGCCAGCATGGCCCAGGATACAGCTGCCCTTTTCTGCAAAGGCATTTTGCTCATTCATATTCACTTTGTCCACTTGGATGCCCCCAGATGTTTTTCTGCAAACTTCTCTCCTAACCAGTGAGACCTTAGCCTGTTCCATTGCTATTCTATTTGTGGCTATCTTCATTACGCAACCTTAATGAGGAAAACACTCTTTTGGGTCTTGGTGGGGACAGCATGGGCTGTTGGATTCACAAATTCATCCAGGTTGTATTTGTTGTTCATCTTCCCTTCTGTGGCCCAAATGAACTCAACAATTTCTTTTGTGATGTTACACAAGCGATTAAGTTAGAATGTACCAACACTTACATATTGGAGTTTATTATGTTTGTCAACAATGACCTAGTCATCTTTATATGTTTCATTTTTCTGCTGATTTGCTACAATGTCCTACTAATCTGCCTGAAAACACTCGATCTCCAGAGGGGAGAGCAAAGCAGCAACTACCTGCGCTACCCACATCATTATTGTCTTTGTTATGCTTGTACTAGCTATATATATATATTTACTGCTGGCCTTTCTACACGTTGCCTCTGGGCAAGGTAGTGGCTGTGTTCCACACCATGGTTTTTCCCCTTATCACCCCCATGATCTACACCCTGAGGAACAGGGAGATGTTCAGTGCCATGAAATGTTTGTTGGTGCACTACTTTCTGGAGAGAAGGAAACAGAAAGGAAATGCATTCATAAAGCACAGAATTACAGTATTCTTTTGTTTTGGAACAGTTTACAGGAGAGATTCATAGGTCTTATCAATGGCCCAGATTATTAGAGATATTTCTTATAGATAAATATTGAATGTCATTGCCTTGCTTTGTCAGGTCTAAATATTTCCAGTGCAGTGAGTATCATCAGATTTTTATAAATAAATAGACATAAATATCTGGGGTGTAAAATAAGTTACTGCAGTACAGTAGGTAGACAGCCTGTTTGTTCCTTTCTACTAGTGGATAACCAAATCAACATCAGAGCAAATAAGAACCAGGAAACCTTTTTCTTCCAAGTACTGGGCATTAGTATAAAATGGGAAATCTAATTCTTGTCCCATGTAGTGAGAAAGTTAGGTTTGATTCTTCAGGAGAAATTTCCTTATAATAAACTTACTACTGATAAAGTAAGGACAGGCAGCAGATTTTAAAGATCTTTGAAAATCCTATCTTGACTAATACCTGAATTGCACTCCTGGGACATGAGTGGAAAAGAGACAAGGAAAGGAAAATGGATCTGCCTGAGGCCACAGTCCCATGGAGAGCTCAGCCCTGCACTTGGCCACTAGAGCTGTTCCACAGCTCATGGGCACCCCCAGAGTGGCAGCAGAGCCTCTCTGCTCTCCATAGCAGGGCCTGCCCTGGACACAAAGGTGTAAGGCCAGGGATGGGGAGGCCCAGGATGAGGGACTATGGGGATCCTGTTTCTACAGTGAATGGGGCCTTCCATGAGGGCAGCACGCACCATAGCGGTGCCCGAGCTGAGCGCAGCACTGGGCTGCATCCGGACCTTCAGCCTGCCCAGGGAGTCCTGGAGCCCCATGATGGAATGTTGCCAGTAGAAGGCATAGCCCATTCTTGGGGAGCTTTGTCAGTGAACAATTATATTGAAGCAATTATATTAAAGCTAGCAAAACAATTATTAAGAGATTAGATCTTATTAGAGATCGATGTTACTCACTCCTACCAACAACCGTGGGCAAATCTATTTTGCTCAGCCTTGAGGAGTGACCTTGAGGGGCTTCCCCACTCAAAGGAAGGATCTTCAAACACCTTAGGGAGGTATGTTAGAAGTCCTTGGTATGCAAAAGTGGGACTGGACTTTTATTGTATAAAGTGATTGACTATCAGTCATATACATCTTTAGATTATGTGTTTTCAGGCTTACTCAGTAATTTTACTTAACTTTCCTAATTAATTTTTTTAAGTACTCTTATTTTCCACCCTGTGATACCCCACTATAGCCAGCATTTAGTAAGGTTTTATCATAAGCTTCTATAGTGGGAATGCAGCTCGGGAAAATTACTGAAACTGTGAGTTTTGTTAAAAAAACTATAATCAACCTTGATATGCTTCAATGATCTCAGACCTGGGGAAGAGAGATATTGCTGAAATGGGACACAAGGAATGCAGAATTTATGTACCAAAAGGACATAAATTTTGCAGAACCCTGAGACAAAGAAGGAACTAACAAAGACAATTTGGCAATTGTACTGAAACCCTGTCTATCTGGGAGAAATAATGAAAGCACCTAAAACATGGACTAATAGCATGAGAAGCAAGAAATCAATAACTAAGATAGAATACTAATTAATGAACTGAATGATGCCATTTATAGCCCATGAACATTAATTTCTTTGTTTGATAAAATGTGTAAATTGTGAAAAGTTTTGAACTTGCACGCGCATCTTTAGAGGAGTGATCCCCCATGAAATAAAGTATTACCTGCTTCCTAGTACTAAAAATAGTATTTGAGAGTTTGATTTATCCTGCCTGACATTTTGGGCTCCAGTAGTGGGTCTGATAGTTTGGCCAAGCTGGTCTCAGCATTCTTCAACACTAAAAACAGCAGACCCTCCTTGCTCACTCCTATCAGTGATCAGCAGACCATCCTTGCTCAAGCCATCACTGACAAGTCATAAACAAGACACAGCTGGAGCTGCTATATCCCTGCTTAGGCAGAGCATCCAGCTCCAGCTGGCACAGCTTCCCCGAGCAACACTTGACTGGCACCCCGTCACTCTACACCAGAAAAGCCCTGTTCCCAGATTTTAATGGGAGGGACTTCTAACAGCTCCGTCTTGGAGTGTGTGTGGGGATTCCTCCCTTGAGTGGGGACAGCCATCAAGGTTACTCCTTGAGCCTGAGAGAAAGCGATTTGCCCATGGCCCTTGGCAGGGGTACCATCAATCTCTACTTAATATTTGTTTTCTTAGCTTTAATATAATTGCTTCAACACTGCTTCCAAATACTGCACTATGTTTGTAGCTAAAATTATCTACAACGTGGAATAAATAATTCTGATTACAGTATTTTAGTATTTATTATTTTATTATTTTAATAACATTTATTATAACATTACTATCTATTGCTGAAGATATATAACATGTAATAATGTATTATAAAATATTACTTCTCTATATATTTCCATATTATATTTCTATATATATTTCTATATATATTTCTATGTATATATATTCTATATTTCCATATATATGTCTATATTTCTAATAATATTTCTATATAATTGTAACTATCATCTACTTAGCTAAATCATTCACTCAGGTCTGAGAAGGCGTGTCGAAAACAAGGATGCCTTGGCTAATAAACGCAGTGCTAGTCTTCCGTTCTGCTTGAGCCAGGGCCATAATCCAACGCCATCATTGCCAGAGTGCCCTGAATGCTTGTCTGACGTGAATCTCTGGGGCGTGGAAACCCTCCTCTTCTTCTCTGAAGGGCGGTAGTCTGTGTGCTGCACAATCTCTACTTAAGATTTGTTTTCTTATCTTTAATATAGTTGCTTCAACACTGCTTCCAAATACTGCACTATGTTTCTAGCTATAATTATCTACAACGTGGAATAAATAACTCTGCTTAAAGTATTTTAGTATTTACTATTTTATGATTTTAATAATATTTATTATACTATTACTATCTATTGCTGAAGATATATAACATGTAATAATGTATTATAAAATATTACTTCTATATTATATTTCTATATATATTTCTATATTTCTATATATATTTCTATGTATATATATTCTGTATTTCTATATATATTTCTATATTTCTATATTATATTTCTCTATATATTTCTATATTTCGCTATATATTTCTATATATATATTCTATATTTCTATATATACTTCTCTCTATATATATTCTATATTTCCATATATATGTCTATATTTCTAATAATATTTCTATATTATTGTAACTATCTTCTACTTAGCTAAATCATTCACTCAGGTCTGAGAAGGCGTGTCGAAAACAAGGATGCCTTGGCTAATAAACGCAGTGCTAGTCTTCCGTTCTGCTTGAGCCAGGGCCATAATCCAACGCCATCATTGCCAGAGTGCCCTGAATGCTTGTCTGACGTGAATCTCTGGGGCGTGGAAACCCTCCTCTTCTTCTCTGAAGGGCAGTAGTCTGTGTGCTGCACAACCTGGCTGTGGCAATCATAGCCCTGCCCTGTTGATCTTCTCTGCTCTCTCTGCCTCTGTCGGGTTTGCTCCCGAGCAGCCCGGAGCATGAGAGCCTGCTTGGAGCTGGCTTTGGAGGGCCCTGGAACTGCAGGATTCACTAAGACTTGGTCACAACGTGGAGGACTTGTTCTCTCCCTCTTTCTCTTCCGCAGTGAGCGGTCACAGTCTGTGTACTGCACAAACCGGCTGCCAAGGTTGTAAGTTCCCCGCACAGATCTGCTTGGCTCCCTCTGCCTCAGCAAGGTTTGCTCCTGAGCAGCCCTGGCAGCGGGAGCCCACCGGCAGATCCTCTTGGAAGGCCTTGCAGCTGTGCTATCCCTAGGACCACGGTCACGACTTGGAGGACCAGTTCTTCTCTCTGAAGCGTCGTCATAGTCTGTGGTGTCCCCAGAGCAGCTGCGCAGATCCCTGCCCCACAGAGGGAATCTGCTCCGGGACCGCTCCCTGCCAGTGTCCTTCACGCCCTGCAAAGAGAGCTGTGGAGAGTTCCTGCCCTTTTCTCCTGAAAGGATCAGAGCAGTGGGGAACCCCTACAAGTTCTGGGACAGGACAGTTTGGGGCCTCCAAAAGGCTCTTTTGGAGGGCTACTAAGACCAAAAGACCAGAGGCGCACCAAAGGGATGGATCCAGGTGGGATGCTTTGAGAGGGAGCAGCGTTGTGGCTGTGAAGAAAGGTGCGGTGTGTGAGGGGCAAAAGAGAAATGCTGAGATCCCCGAAAGAAATCCACTATTCCTCTGATGCCCTGACCCATGACCCCAAAGTTACCTTAGTCCTACCAGTCAGACCCTGTGGTCCAACAGAGCCCGCCTGCTTGCTGCTGGCCACACACTGGCTGAGGAAGGAAGGGGCATGTGATGGTGCCAGTGAGGAAGAAGCCCTTTCTCCAATTCTCAGATCAGAGCATCTGGAGAAAAACAAAAGAGTGATCTCAGTTTAGAGCTGTTGTTGCAACCTCCTCTGGGGTTCAGTCATTTTCTCAGAGAGGCTTCTATGACAGAGAGAAGACTTAACCAAGGACACTAATGGGAAACTCAGCTAGGGTCTTCCCACCAAGTTGCCTCTGTCCCAACTAAAACCTCATCTCTATACCTCCCACAGCCTCCATTTCATAAATTCACAGACTTGTTTGGGTTGCAAGGGACCTTTATCTTGTTCCACCCCGCTGTGGTGGGCAGGAACACCCTCCACTATTCCAAGGTTTCTCCAAGCCCTGTCCAACCTGGCCTTGAACACTTCCAGGGATGGGGCCCCCACAGATGCTGTGGTGACCTGTGCCAGTGTCTCAGCACCCTTACAGCAAAGAATTCCTTCCCAATATCTAATGGAAACCTGCCCTCTGTTAGCTGAAAACTGATAGCCTTCATCCTGTCACTACATTCCCTGACAAATGGTGCCTCCCCATCTTTCCTGGAGGTCCTCTTTAAGTCCTCTTATCTACAAGAGTCAACATCAGAGACCAGGCAAGT